GTAAATGCAGATAATTCCTCACAAGGATATCTGGCAATTTGATGCACAATGCAGAACATACAATCAAGGATGCAGAAGATAGTGGGTTTTTTCTTTTTTTTTTTTTACTGAAATGAAAACACAATATTTCATGCTTAGGTGTGAAAGCAGTATAGCTTAATAAAATAAAGCTTATCATTCAAGTCACTGTTGTACGTCACAACTAATTTATCATCCATTTCACACAAACTGCATGTGATGAACAGTGGCCTTTGATAATTATTTTCCTTATAAAGTGCTGGAATCAAAGGACATGTTTTAAATGTTTGGTCACAGATATCACCTTGCTGGTGAACCCCAAATAGCCAGCCTTAAGTGGCTGATATGCATTCTTGGATAGTTGTAATGTTTATAAACTGTCTTTTCCATAGCAATCTTGATAGGCGAAAAGCACTTAATAGCAAGATTGTTGGTGTGTTTGCATATAAATTAAAAGAAAATTTGGCTGTGTGCAAGTATAGTTGCTAACAAAGGAGAAGATAATTGCACAGGTCACTTAGGGACTATTTTGACAAATAGGTGTAACAGATTTTTTTCATCAAAACTGGTACTGCTCCTCACAGTCCACTAAAATGCAACTTGACTTGCAGAGTCTAAACAACTGAGTCTTCCAAAACTGGTGGGGGGGGAGGGGGAAGGGGGAACTTTCCTCTCTTAATTTAGAGTTTAATCAAGCCCTACATTACATCACTGAAAGACAATTTTGTCTACCTTTCTCCAAAAATAAATCACACTTTGCCAATTATATTCCAGGTAAGCCGTGGTGGAAAACCACTGCTGTTCACAGCCAAATGCACACACAATATCCCACCCAATGCTCAGATCGGCTTGATCCTTCAAGGGGCCATGTAATTAAATTTCATCAAGAGCTAACAGAACTCACTTAGAGCCAAGAAGCCTGACAGAGATTTCCTTTATTCAGTATCTGAGTTTTAACAGATCAGCACTCTGCACCACCACACAGGCTCTGAAAAGCTCAATCTTCACCCTCCCAGCATTTCAGGAAGGCCTCAGCACTTTGTAGGTTTAGACACATACTTGGCAGCAGATATCAAAACAACTAATAAGTGTTGCCAAAAGCAAGTTGGTAACTCACCTTGTACGATCAAGGTCCTATGTCTGTGTTAACATACTCACTAGTGCATTCCTATGTAGCAGATTATTCTGCAGCTTCCAATTAATTCAACAGAATTCTCATTTTCAATAAGTAAGCCATACATAGCTTTAATTCCAATTTGTGCAGGTTCAAGAAGATTAGTATATGGTTATTTGGCTTCTTCACCAGAACATTTCTGTTTTTCAGCACTTTGGCCCATAAAGGAACGGTTCATTACAAACGCTTCCTGTTCAAGGAGCTGGCTGTCTACTTCAGCCTTCTCCTTCAATTCCCATGCTACAACCTTTGGCTGCTGTTACTAGCCTCTGCGCTCCCCAGCCTCTCCTAGACATAAACATTTTCCATAACTGGATTCCTTCTTTGAAACACTGGAGTCCAGACTATAGAGGGCTCAGTCCATGAGGAGTTCCTCACAGAGTGAATATAAAAATCCTGGCTCTTACTTGGCTGTGCATTTCCTTCTCTCTTGCCACAATATCGCTAGCTGAGCACAATGATCTCCGCTACAGAGCTAATTTCAGCCCCTTCTGGGGCTCAAGGCCTTACCAATATAGGATTCTGCTTCCTGAGTTTAATATCAAAGCACTGATCTAAAGACTTTAAGTCACCACATGATAAAAGAACTCATGCAATGTGGAAGCAGAACGTTCCTCTGATTTTTTAGGGGCATTTGGGAGAATTTAGCCTGATTCCTAACTGCCTCTATTTCCATTATTCTGTTGGAAGGTGCTATTAACTGCCCTCAAGATCTGCTCTGGTTAAGGCTATTTTATATGCCAAGTGCTGTTTATTCAAGCTTAATAGAAAGCAGTTAAATGAAATGGCCTTTTGGTTAGTACTCGCTGAAACAAGAGAAGAGACTAGAAAGGTTGGGCGTGTCCTGGCAAAGCCATACATTTGATTTGTATGTGACTGCTTAAAAGAAGCTGTGTCACTCACCACAGACAATACTTCTGACCCTAACAGACAGCTGTAGGATTTAAAACTTCTGTAATCCTGACTGATATTATGTGAGTGGGAAGTCAAGAATGCGGCTTAGTTTATTGGCATGCCTTTATTGCAACTCAGCAAACTTTCAAACAGGTATTTCTTGCAGCAAAATAAAAAAAACATATCTTCAGGCGCCATTGTTGAAAAATAGTAACTATTTAGCAGTGGTCTCTGTAGCCATTTTTACGTATATTTTCTGAGCTGTGAAGTGGGCTTAGTATCTGAGTTTGTAGTGCAATTTAGGGCTTATTAAATGACGTCAACCACCATTCTTTGCTGTTGCACCTAAGTTTGTTTCAAATGTATAGAGGCCGCCTGATAGTTGCTGGATCTCCAAGAAATTTTCGTTTTACTACCATCGCCCCAAATAGACATACATCCTGGAGCATGGACCAGAATAGGGTGTAACCGACACCGAGCAAAGAAACTTCCGCGGTCAGATCCTGCTTCTTGTGCAGGGAGTTGAGACCACCTCCTTCCTCGCCTGGCTCTGCAGCCCGCATGCGGCTGCCCGGTGTGACAGTAGTGCCACCTCCTGCTCGGCCCGCCGAACTGCACACCGCAGTCTTGCACATCTCCCCCCCCACCCCGCGTCTTTCCCTTCTTCTTCTTTATGCCCTCTAATCCCGTGGCTTCCCGATTTCAGCTACCTCTGTTGGCTTACATAAGACTAATGTCTGGTTTTCATTCCGGCTGAGATTGTTTTTTAACTTATGTTAAATATGTCGGCTGTTTTTTCCCCTTTTATGACTAGATTACCGTTTCTGATTGGTAAAAGGGAATATCTTGTATTTTGGGTATTTCTTTAGAGAGTCCATTTGTTTTCATTTTTCTTCTCGTTCACTGCACTGTTCCTCCTTTCCGGATCTGTGCAGAGTTGCATTCATGAAAACTGACAAATGAGTTACGTACCATTATCACTTCTGTTTCCCAATTTCTACTTCCCATGTGCAATCAGCGATTACGCACTTGGTAACTCTGCCTTAGCGTTGCAGTAACAAATAAGGTAGTATAAAGAAGAGAGCCATAATAGTCTTTTCATTCCTCATCTACTCTTGAGTGCTGTACGGATTTTAATACTTCCAGAATTTCGAATTTTTAGTTTACCCCTCTCCTCGGAAGATCAGTGTAAATCACGTTTGTGAATAATACTTGGGTACTTTGATCCTCTACAGCGCTACTGAGGGGAGTGCTTCCCATTTTGATTTCTGGCAATACCCACGCTCGTTCTTCTGTTATCAAAAGGGAAGGTGCTTGTGCTCTTTGCAGTAATTGTGCCTGCAATTACTGCAGGGGTACCGCGTGGCTCTCAAAACTGTGCGCCAGGCTTCCCCTCGGGGTATTGTCCGAGTGGCGAAACCTATTATTAAACGGGAGGTCTACCGTGCTTACTCTGCATTATGCATGACTCTGAACAGCTCGGTATAGGGGCTTTTCGGCAGCCAAGATGTCCTTTTTCTAAATTGTATTTTTTTAGCAATTCCAAACTCTTGGTGAACAGATCATGAACACCAAATCCCTGCGTTTAAAGCATGCTCCTTTCATATGTCTCCGCAGGATGAACTCAGCTTGTTTTAGATGTTCTGAGGCAACTTTTGAACCGAACTGGCAGGTTGCTCTGTAACGCCTTTAAATGCGGTTAAAAAGCAACAAAAGCCGTTTGCCAACTCGCACAGCAGTACCGTCGGCGGTTTATTTTACTTAAGGCCCCACCTCGCGGCATATACACGTCCACGCCAATCTTAACCTTCTTCTGAATAAAAAGCCGCGCACTTGCGTGAAACCCTGGCTCCTCCTCGCCCTCCGCGACCCACTCAGTAACGC